CAATACACCTTAATACACTTTTTTCGGCAACTCTACTCGGCAATAACCATAATATTTGTATGTGCAAAACTACATTTTTGTAGTATCTCAAACCTTAATATGTTCACCTAACTATTTAAATGCTGCCACTCAGTTTTTAGCCATGGATGAGTACTTATTTGAATGTTTGTGTTACTTATGTGTGCTTTCTTTTTATATTTAACATGTTAGCTACTTTATTATTGCTTGCCTTTCATCTGCCATGTCACTTTTGCTGTAGCGCTCTGATTCTGATAATAGAGACTAGTTTCTTCTTTGTCTTCCTCACTGTTCCCATCTGTGTTGCAGGTACATCATCACTGACGTCATCGGGAAAGACGACGGTATCGGGGTGGAGAACCTGCGAGGTTCTGGCACCATTGCAGGAGAATCCTCTAAGGCCTATGAGGAGATTATTACCATTAGTATGGTGAGACTGTGGATCTAATTTCTCTCGAGTAACAGTAACCATGTGACCCTTTGGAACATTTTACTGAGTCAGTTTCTATGCTCTGGCAGGTGACGTGTCGTGCTATTGGAATCGGAGCCTATCTGGTCCGTTTGGGACAGAGAGTGATTCAGGTGGAAAACTCTCACATTATCCTGACTGGGGCAAGTGCTCTTAACAAGGTCAGTTCGTTTAAAAAATGTCACGTTTATTGTTGAATGGAAAGTATTGAAATCTAAATAATTAGTTCAGGGGGTGTTTCAGTAATTACTGTATGTGCATGATAAAGGCAAACAAACGTGAAAATTAAGGCAAAATTAGAGGGACATACATAGTCAATCAAAAAGGCAGATTACTCTGTTTGTCTCCTTTAAGACATTTAACCTCTATTGTGAAGATACCTAATGGACTCTGGTCACATCAGGCTAGGTGGAAAAGATAAAAGTATTTGTTTCTGTGTAGGTTCTGGGCAGAGAAGTTTATACCTCCAACAACCAGCTGGGAGGGATCCAGATCATGCACAATAATGGAGTGACTCACACCACCGTGCCAGATGACTTTGAGGGCGTCTTCACCATCCTCAAGTGGCTCTCCTATATGCCAAAGGTTCGGCTGAATGTGTGAAAGTTCATGTAATGTAGTTTTTAAGTCTATATAAAAGTAACCCAACTAACTCTTGATCTCTCCTCGCTACAGAACAAACACTCCCCTGTGCCCGTCATATCGACTACAGATTCAGTAGACCGAGAGATAGAATACACTCCGACCAAAGCACCGTACGACCCACGCTGGATGCTGGCGGGGAGACCTCACCCCAGTGAGTGCAGAGACGTGATTTAAAACTTGATAGTGTTCAGTATATCAGTCTGGTCAATTGGCTTTTTGTCTGCTTTATTAGCGGTGAGAGGGGCCTGGCAGAGCGGATTTTTCGACCACGGCTCTTTCATGGAGATCATGGAGTCTTGGGCTCAGACAGTGGTAGTGGGCAGAGCACGGTAAGTGGGTTGACTCTGAATACATGCACAATGTTCTTATAAACCTTACACCGTATTTATTAATGAACTCTGTTGAATGCTAACAGGTTAGGAGGAATTCCCCTTGGTGTCATTGCTGTTGAAACTCGCACAGTTGAGTTCACCGTCCCAGCAGATCCAGCCAACCTGGATTCAGAATCTAAAGTGAGTCCATTTTTCCACATTTCTGATTTAAGCACAATACATCAGTTCTTCAACTGTGCTCATATTTTCTGTGTGTTGATGTCAGGTTCTGCAGCAAGCCGGCCAAGTGTGGTTTCCAGATTCAGCTTTTAAAACGGCTCAAGTTATTTGTGACTTCAACCGTGAGGGTCTGCCTCTCATGGTGTTCGCCAACTGGAGGGGCTTCTCTGGTGGAATGAAAGGTATAGGATGAATATAAAACTTTGCAAAGAAAGTTTTGGATTTTTTTTTTAAACGTTTTTTCCTGTTTTTCTCCCAGATATGTACGACCAGATACTGAAGTTTGGGGCCTACATCGTGGACGCCCTGCGTGCTTTCCATCAGCCGGTGTTAGTGTACATCCCACCGCACGCTGAGCTGAGGGGGGGGTCCTGGGTGGTGATAGATCCCACCATCAACCCACTGTGTATGGAGCTCTATGCAGACAGGGAGAGCAGGTATATGAAGCGTTCCTGTATATTATTATTATAATGGTTGCTTTACTAACCTAAGCAACAGGTGTGTGTGACAATAACATGTTTTGTTTTGCCTCCCTGTTGTGCTTTCTTCAGAGGTGGTGTGCTGGAGGCTGAGGGAACAGTGGAGATCAAATTCAGGAGGAAAGACCTGCTGAAGACCATGACCAGACTTGATTCAGTCTATGCTAGTCTGGTTGAGCAGCTTGGTAAAGGTTATTTCTTTCTTAATTCACTTGGACGACTTTCATTAAATGTTCTTTTGAATTCCCATCCAACTGATGCATCACTAGCAAGTCACTCATTCACTCTCTTCTGTTTTCCTCAGCTTCTCCAAAGCTGTCTGACAAACAGAGCAAAGAGCTGGAGTCAAAGCTCAAAGCCAGGGAGGAGTTCCTGTTGCCCATCTACCACCAGGTGGCGGTGCAGTTTGCTGATCTCCATGACACCCCGGGGAGGATGCAGGAGAAGGGTGTCATCACGGTGAGTGTAACATTAGTTTAGAGGTGGGAGAAGTACTCAGATCTTGTACCTAAGTAAAGGTTTAAGTACCAGAGTGTAGGAATACTCTGGTACAAGTACAAGTCCTGTCATCAAAATGTTACTCAAGTAAAAGTAGAAGAGTATAAGCATCAAAATATACTTGAAGTACCAAAAGTAGAAGTGCTCATTATGCAGATTGCTCAATTTCAGAACAATTTATATGTTTTGATTATTGATGCATTAAAGGTGCAGCTAGTTTGAATGACTTTGTATACTGCAGGGTAGCTTGTGAATTTACTCCAGGTGGAACTAAAGTCTTATTTAAGTGTTGATTACATTTCATATCATTAATCCAAATCTACAAAGTAGTAAAAGTAGTCAAATTGCACGATTTACCTCTCAATTGTAATGGGGTAGAAGTATAATGTAGCCAAACATTTAAATACTCAAATAAAGTTCAAGTATCTCAAAATGGTACTAAAGTAAAGTACTTGAGTAAGTGTACTTAGTTACTTTACACCACTGCATGAGATGCAGAATAACTTGTATTTAGAGAAGATTGGTGCTTTTAATAACTTTGTTTCACGTGGTTTCTCTGACAGGATATTTTGGACTGGAAGAATGTGCGGACCTTCTTCTACTGGCGTCTGCGTCGGCTGCTGCAGGAGCAGGTGGTGAAGCGGGAGATCCTGCAGGCCAACAAGGACCTGAGCGACGGACACATGCAGTCCATGCTGCGCCGCTGGTTTGTTGAGACAGAAGGAACAGTCAAGGTATGTTAAATCAGCCGGAGACTTCTGTCAGCTGAAGAATGGCTCATAGGTCAATATCTGTTTATCACTGTGAAGCATACATACTGTGTCGTAAAAAGCTTTTACATTAATCAAGTGTCAGTTTTTGCATATCATTTGGTTCTTTTAGTTTTTTGAGCACTCTGTTGATAACACTGATTAGAGATTAAAACGTGCTTCTTTCTGCTTCTCCAGGCCTACCTCTGGGACAATAACCAAACAGTAGTCGAGTGGCTTGAGAAGCATTTGACCAACGAGGAAGGCACTTCAGGAATAAGAGAAAACATCAAGTACCTGAAAAAAGAAAACACTTTGAAACACATCCGCAGGTATGAAGAAAAAAGTCACACACACATTTGGTGACCTATTGATGTGGTCTTTTTCCATTGCTATAATCTTATCTATGCAGAAAAGCAATGTGTCACATCTTAACAGATATTACATTAAGATTCAACAACACAGAGTAGACATAAATAAATGAAGACTAGCCAAGAGAATCCCTATCACTCATCAGTTTGGTCATATTTAGCTAACACTGCCTAATGTATTAAACTCCAGTGTCTACTAAATACCTGAATCTTAATTTCCCATATAGTAGATGTTGAGACACATGCTGGTCTTGGCAAGGTAATCTAATGTTGATTACTAATATCAACATTAGATTATATGGCAGACAACTTACTTCATGTGCAAACAGACTTAAATACTCTCTCTCTCTACATTTACAGTGCTCATAAGTTTTATTATCTTTAAGCTTTAAGTGTGTATTATCGTGTTCCTCTTGTGTTGCAGCCTGGTGCAGGCTAACCCTGACGTAGCCATGGACTGCATCATCCACATGAGCCAGAATATCACTCCCTCCCAGCGGGCCAAGCTCTCCCATCTGCTCGCAACTATGGACAGCACCAGCACCAGTTAACCTGAGAACCTTTATCCGGTTACTTTATTGATAAGAACCAAACAGGATATTGTAGTTGGTTGTATTATAAAGGAAAAGAGGTGGAAAATTCACCTTTTTTAGGGTTATAGTTGGGGCATTTATTTGCACACAATGCACAAAGTGACTTGTTCCTCACTCAACCACTACAATGCTCTTACTGTTGTAAACAATGCGGTTGAATGGCTTCGTTGCAGGGCCATGGTTATCCGTGCCAGTCTTTATCTTTTACATTTGACGTTAGCGGTCAGTCATTTCAGCTCCTCGGTCCGGGAACTTCTCGGATCACAAACTACGACTGTAATGAACATTTCACTGGGCTGTATTTGCACATGGCAGTTTGTCAGCGTTACATGTGCCTTGTTCAGTCTAATCAAGCCAGATCTGTTCAAACTTGATGAAGTGCCATTGGTTCAATTCAACATATTAAATAGAGAATTGGTATTAAACACAAAGGTGGCTTGAACAACTGATTATATGTTGTAAGATTTTCAACTGAAAGTAAAAATGAAAAGAAAAGAAATTAATTAATTGATTATTTCTGAATTGACTGAAAATGTTTTTATTGTAATGCAGAAATGCACATGTAGTAACTAAAACGTTTTTGCCAGTAATAAGTATTATTATGTCCATCTTTATATTGTCATTTTCAGTCTGTTTATTTGTATTTATGCTGTAGTGTTGTGTGTGCTAAGATTATGATATGAATGTTAGGAGTTACTGCGACATTGCATGTTATAATTATGAACTTTGCTTTCATTTGTTGGTGTTTCTCTGATATAATGCAGTAATTCTCAAGACTCAGGTTGTACATTAATTTCAAAAATGGGCCCTCAAGTGATGGCTTAATTTAGCTCACCTCTGATCAAAATATCAGCCTTGACATTTCATCTGAATGTATATGAATTCTCTCTTCTGTGTGATATACTAAAGACTGTTTGTTAATAAATGTCATTCATATATTTTTGGCAAAACAAACTTATTTTATTCCCCATTTGATTTTTATTATGATCAAGTTAATGAACATAATATACATCTGACTTTGAGACATGTTATTCACATTGTGTAAAATAATAATGTGTAAAATCTGGATTACTCAAAATGTTGGCACACAATGGCATTTTGGAATGAAGTGGGTAAACTCAGTCAAAAGAAAGCTTTTCTGTGGCGATAGCAATTTGAAACATTCAAATATATACAGCAAAAGATTGCTAGAGTCATCACCTTCTCCAGCTGCCTTTTCATAAATATAAATAAAACATCACAGCAATAATGTCTAGCACAATACAACAGACAAGAGACGGGAATCTACAGTATGTTAGGGCTTTACAACGCAGAAAGAAAAACTTGAGGACGCTAAAGCGTACATCTCCACATAGTCTTTGTACTCATGCAAGCTTTGAGTCTTCGCTCGGCAAAGCTAGGTTTCTTAAATCTTACATATTTTCTTTCTTCTTAATCTTCTTCTCTTAATTTATCAGCAGTTTTAGTTCTTAGTGAGCACTTGTGGGCTTTATGTGAAATGATTTGTGAAGTAGTTCCCGGCTGACTGTAGGAAAGCAGTTTGATTTGTAGGAGCACAAAATCATTCAGATTTTGACCTCAGTTGGCTTCCACAGATATCCAAAGACGGTTGAATAAATCAGGTTGACTCTGTTTGACACAGTTCAGCTGCTTCATAACAGGGCGATGGGCTTGTTGTTGGCCTGTGCACCCATATACTGGGAGGCCAGGTGATCCTGGGTGGTGTAGGCGGTGTAGAGACCCGTCACTTGCACATCTGACAGCGGCAGGTTTGCTCCGTTGGACATGGGAGTCAGGTGGGCTGTTCCCAAGTCACAGTCTGATAGTCGGAGGGGCGAGTTACTGAAGGTGCCCAAAGCATCCAGGTTAAAGCTGTCGTCCTTCATTTCCTCCCACAGATTACCTGAGCAGATGGAAGGAGAGGTTAGTATACTGATGGAACAACACTTCTATTTTATTGTTTTATTTCTTTTGTTTTATATCTTATAAGATAAGATAAGAAGTATTTTATTCATCCCAATTTGGGAAATGTTTGCATTGCAGCAGCATAAAAAGACAAGGCATTGTACATTAGAGAAATTAAAAGACTAGAAATAGACAATCCAAAATGTAAACGTCTCAAATAGAAATAAAATAGCATTAAAAAAGTAAAAAATATACATTTGGAAATACAACATTATACATGTTATGCTGTATTGTTGGAGGAGCCTTGGACTTAAGTTTTTCATTGCCATATCTACACAGTGGCTGCTGTGCATGACAGTAAAGCCTTTGAATTATATAGCAAACTTAAAATAAAATGATATATAAATAATGTGTTTACCTTGAAGGGCAAAGTCCATGATGCTGGGGTCCAGTGCGTCCACCTCTGTGTGCGTATCACCGTGCACGATGTAGAAGTCTTCATGCTGCTTGTTGGAGTGCTGGGTGAGTGGACTGTGGCAGAGGTCAGGGACGGTGTGGAGGGGGGGTGTCTGGGCCGGGGCTGGGGACATGGGGGCGAGGCGGGCCTGAGCGTGGAGCTGGGCCTGGAGCTGGTGGTGCTGGTGCATGGGTAAACAGGGCAGGGACAGCGTGACAATCGGCTGAGGCTGCATCTGGGACGGGACGGACAGCGGGAGGCCGGAGGGACAGCTGGGGAGGCGGGTCATGCCGGCCTCTAAAGCCTTACGCCTGCAGTTCTCTGGGCGGTCTGTGATCAGTTTGTCCAACTCATCTGCAGGGGAAAAAACAATTATCAGACAAGGTCAGATTTTATTGACTTGGGTGGGAGAAGTACTCAGATCTTGTACTTAAGTAAAAGGAGAAGTACCAGAGTGTAGGAATACTCTGTTACAGGTAAAAGTCCTGCAATCAAAATGTTACTTGAGTAAAAGTACAAAAGTATAAGCATCAAAATATACTTAAAGTACAAAAAGTAAAAGTACTCATTATGCAGATTGGTCCATTTCAGAATAATATATTTTGATTATAATTATATTGTATTGTATTGATGTAGTTTTAATCATTTTGTATGCTGCAGGGTAGCTTGTGAATGTTACTCCAGGTGTAACTAGAGTCTTATTTAAGTGTTGACTATATTTCACATCATTAATCCAAATCTGCAAAGTAACTAAAGGTATTAAATAATTGTAGTGGAGTAGAAAAAAGTAGTATAACATTGAAATACTCAGAGTGAAGTACAAGTCCCTCAAAATGTTACTAATGTAGTATTTGAGTAAATCTACTTAGTTACTTTACACCACTGCTTAAAGCCTTTTTGAGCTTAACACTTTTCAAGACTGCATTCATTCTAACAAAAATGATGACACGAGGCATTTCTAAAATTCAACAAATGTTGTTTCAAGGAGGAAGGACGTCTTTCAACAAGGCACATAGTTTACAAATAACTGTCGACTTAGAATCTGATTCTGATCAAATTGAATAAAACATGGATTCATCCTAACCAGGGTTAGCCATGCTGCGGCGGATGGCTGGAAGGTCCTTGCGTTTCCACTTCTGCATCTCTTCCTCCATCTTGTCAATTTTGGCAGGGTTCAGCGCCCACAGACAGCCCTTACGGGAGGAGCTGCTCGTCTTGTTCTCCACTTTCTCGAAGCATTTGTTTAAGGACAGGTTGTGTCTGACTGAGTTCTTCCATCCATCAGGTGCAATCTGCAGGGAGAAAAGGGGACGTTTATAATAAGTTAAATGTTTTCTCAACTGCATGCATGTTGATCTTCTGTCCTTTCCCGCAATATAAATAGAGTAGCATACCTTGAAATAAGGGAAGTGATCCTTCATAAAGCTATAGATCTCACTGACTGGGAGGCTGCCAGTTTTGCTGTTCTTCAGAGCCATGGCAATCAAACAGCTGGGAAGAAATGACCAGAAAACAATCGTCATTTTAATGCAGTTCAAAAAGAAAAGGCTGAAATACACTGAAGATTATTAGGAAGATGTGGTAGGTGTTTTTATATGTAAGGTATGTTAGTGAAGTCTGACCTGTAGGAATAGATTGGCTTGGGGAAAGACTTGGGCTGCAGCTCCTGGTCTTGTGGAGCCAGACGAGGTTGTGTGAAAAGACTTTGGTTGTTGAAAGAGACATTGCTATAAAGCCCACCAGTTGAACACTATAACAAAAATAGAGAAAAATATCATCATTTGCATTTATTCATTGTGACCAACCAAGTTTTTATCAGGTAGCATCAAGTGCAGAGATCCATGTTATCCACACAAATAGCAAAAGACGAATTAGCAACAACAAAAAATGTGATTATTAGTTGAGAGTTTGGTACCTGTTGTCCGGTTTGGGTAAGAGAGTACACCTGCTGGGGGGCAGACTGGTAGACTGAGGTAGGGCACTGGTATCCCGGAGAGGGCATCCCAGTCATGGAGAATGGAGACATCTGTAAAGCAGATACAGTAATATTTGTTAATCATCCCTATAAAACGCTTGCTTGTTTTTTTTCTTGCAATTCTGTTGAAACTCACACTTCCGCTGTGGGTGTTGATGATGCTGATTCCCAGAGGGCTGTGCTGCATGTTGCTCTGGAGGTGCAGCATGGAGCCTTGACCCGCCGTCATCGCAGTCATGTTGCTCAGTTGAGCTGTGAGAAGGAGCAATAATTAGATTTAAAAAAGTGTACTGAAATAATCCTGAAGTGCTTTCATTTTTTATCCAGAGAGATATGATGCGATGGCTGTAACAACCAGAAGAATATATAGAGGAATAGGTATAGTATGTTTTTGATAATCATATAACCAAAAAATACCACAATAAGAAGTCTTTATCTAAGCTTCTGTTGAAAGTGCTACACAATAAAATGTTCAGTATATGGCTGCAAATTGGTCCTGTAAGTACATTTTATTTATGTTAGTATTTATTTTAATTATAATTGTTTGCATTTTTGATCTGCTGAGCACAATACATACTCTATTTAAATGATGGTTTGAGGTTAACTGTCCCTGTGTTATTAGTAAAGCATAGTCCCAACAGCAGTGCTGTACTGTTAACGTCCATTATGACACTGTGTTTATATCTGCAGATGAGGGAATCCTGCTGTCCTGATTATCCAATGAGAGGGCTGATGCCGTTTTTGAATGTTGCACTGTCCCCTCCCTGTCCCCTCCCTGTCCCCTCACCTGTCTGTTGCTCCAACAGGCTGCCCTGGGGGGGGCCGTTACTGAGGCCTCTGCTATCAGCCATCTGCTGGAGCCGGGGCACATCCACTGAGGTGAGCCATGACAGAGACTGCAGGTCCCCAGGGAGGTCCTCCTCCCTAAGCTGGGAGGGGTCCGTGGTCAGAAGCCTTCAAAAGAGGAGAAAGAGGGGGGGTTAACACGGCTGTCACACACAGACACACACAAGTGGAATTTAAATCTAAACACTAGATAGAGCATTTTGTCCTTCAAAGTCAGACCACTGTAATGAGTGTGAATGTGGGCAAACAGAGATGAAAGCTGCTCAGTGAAGCCGAGCCATCAGCCATCCAGGATTTACCATAAGTAGATTAACTACAAGTGTTATCTTGCAGTGACAGTTGTATTCACCGATGGAGTTAAACAAGCTTACCGTTGAGACTAATTCATCTGTTAGGATTAGGTTTTTTAAATGTATTATAAAGGCACACTGACCTTTGTTTTTCTAGTTATTAACAATATTCAGTTTTTCTTTTCAATGATTTGAAAATAAATGCAAAACATCTTTTAATGTTGTTTTGTATTTTATATTTCAAAAGAATATTTTTTCAACCTATAATGTATTAAAATGTTCTTTAAAGGGAATTCAAATGTAGGATTTCTGTTTAACCAGTGCCCTGTTAGTACCAATAAGCTTCAGCCATTACGTTTTTTATGAGGCGAGCCTCGAAGAGAAAGCAAAGAAAGGAGAGGAATCCTCTTGAATCCTCTCCAGTCTTCTCCGCACACACACACTTACTGTGCAAAGGTCTAGTAATTGGGGTCGCCATGACAACACACACTATTCAGTTAGGGTCTGTAGACAGTGAATAAGTACCCACTCCTCCCCTTCACACACACACACACAAAATCTCCTAATAAAAAAAATAAACCCTGTGTCAGGTGACCACGGCCTCGCCTTCCACCATTGGCTGAATCATAAGTAAACAACGCATTGGATCGTTTGAAACATGGGACAGCAGCACATGTTGCCTGTAACAGTTGGCCTTGTCTATTGAAAAATGATCACCTATTGTGTCCCAAACGACAAATCTGCCCAGTGGCACGTGGCTCTATTGTCTTCCCCAGACCCTTCCTTGATTGTCTCTGTCGTTTCTTTTCTTTACACAGCCCCCTTGCATTAATCTGTTGGAATGACAGCCCTCACATAAGAGGGACAAATAGGATGCCATCTGCTTCCCTGTCCCTGTCCCTTTCCAGCCTCTAACCTCACCCAACCCCCTTCCCCCATCGCCTTGCCCCGTCCTCCATTAATGGGGGAAATCAACGGAGCCTCGGGCCAGTGGGGGGTGCAAGTGTAGTTTGAGGTCAGGGCTGTGTGTCTGCTGTCTAAAGCAGTGACATCATGCAGCCGGGAATCAGCAGCACACTTCCTCCAACACCTTGCATGCGCCACTAAAGGAGTGATCATCCTTTTTGCAGCAGGTGGCATTGTGAAGTTTAACACCCTGCGTAAGGTCACAATATCTGGAGCTTTAAAGTAGAGTTTTTGTTAGTTATTGGGCGACTGACTTACTCTTTTTTTCTGTTTTGCTGCTAATAGTTTTATTTTACTTCTGGAAAAATACAGAAATGATATCTATGCATACAAGTCTGAGAGTCTATGACTTTTTGAAACTTTTTTAACTTTGGTATTCTATTTTTTAAAGCATAAACGTAGGTGTGCATACACTCAAATCAAACTATGTATAATATTTGATATGGCTTTACTTTTCAGAATCAGAATCTGAATTCCTTTGTTCTTCTCACAAAGGGGAAATGTATATTGTTACAGCGAAGTATAGATAGAGAAAAAACTAAATAGTACACTATTATATAAAAGATAGTATTCAAAATGATTACAATTTACAGAAGTACACATTCAGGTAGATGTCAGGTTTACATTTTTGATTCACAACTCAACTCAATGTGGCAATTGCCTATTATTAAAGCCTGTCACAAACTGATAGAAATGTAATGATGATACATGGGGGGTCTTATTCCCACTCCCTTCCTCTCTCTCAATCAGCAGCATAGAAATTGTTCACTGATGCAAAACATGTTGAGCTGGTGTCTCCGTGTCTCATCCCGGCCTTCCCAGAAGTTCAACAACACAAAATATTGCACCTCCTCCTCCCTCTCTGCCTCCCTCCCTCCCCCCTCCCTTCTTTTCTAATTGGGAGCCACTTGTGCATACTGGTGACCCAGAGTGCCCGTCTCCCCCTGAGCAGGCAGGCCAAGAGGCTCAGGCTCTCCGTGTGCCGACAGCGGGAGTGTAAACAGAGCTGATGGTTTCTGACAGATCCTTTCAGACCGAAAATCATTTATTCTTCAGGATTTTTTTCTCCTTTTTCATGAAACCCCCCATGCACAAAAAGAACTGTCCATCTACCTTCAGATTAAACATAGTGGGTTTGGACAGTTTGTTCCATGACCATTTGGGAAACACCTTTGAAGGTTTGACAAATAAAAATATGCCTTTTATCTATTGAGGCGTCACAGATTTGATCCTTAGTGTTTTTGACAAAATGCAACACATTTTAATATGTCGTTTAGTGGTAGAGGATTCTGATACAACTCCATTTTTATTTTAAATCTCAAGTCTTACCTGTAGTCCTGTGGAGACGGATGATGCCCCGCATTCTCAATGATTCCTGACATCATGGATGTTATTCCACCTTCTATCATTTCCTGGGATATGTGGTACCACTGCAATGAAATACATACAATAAACATACTTTAGGTTATCCTCCCAGTGAATATTCAAACTGGGATCAAAAACCTATGTAAAAGAAATTATCTAAACATAAATTGTGTCTTCAGTAAACAGCAAGTGCTATTCTGAATATATAAGATTGTTCAACAAAAATAGTACATTTTAAACTGAAGTGTAAGATTTAATAAACATTGAGCATAACAAAAATAAAATAAAAAATAAAAGTAATGGTGGCTCATAAACTGTCTGTTTGGCATCAGTGTGCCTTTGTTGTATTCAAATCCCATTTTGCAGTTTGGATCATTTTAGTTCACTTTACTTCACTAATTTAGCTCTAATTCAATTTCCTAGAAATGCAGATAACTAATAACTTGTAGCCTAATCAAGTGTTCAGCTTAAATGTTTACATAACAGTTTGGACACATTAGCTCAGGTTTAAATGTCACTCAGACTTCCAACAGAGAAACTGTGGTTAAAGTCTAAAGAAAACACATTAAAATATCCACATTCTCTTGAAGAAACAACAATCCGACAAAGACTATGATGAGATAAAAAAGAAATGATTCAATTGTACCTGTTTTGGATGATATTGAAGAAAGTGTGAGCTGGTCGGAGCCCCTGTACTGTATTTCACTGTGTTGCACTTGATTCTCAAAAAACCGTTTTTAAATTTCCCTCTCTGGAGCTGTCCAGCGCTCGCACATGCGCAGTGGAGACTTCAGCAGAGCTCCCAGGCGCCCGGGGGGCAGGAGGATACCATGAGTTTGACAGCTGCTATTAATGCAGTGCCTGTTAACAGTCCCTACAACGTCCACACTTCACACGGCAGGAGTAGAGATGTCGAGGTTTTATTTTTCTCTCAGTTTTTGGGGGACTTTGTGCCACAGTGCGGTAGTGGTGCGCTCCTCAACTGCACCCAAACAAGTCCTTGTATTAAAAGTCAGGTCCTACTTCCCCCAAATGTAGTCGCCTATTAGATCGTTATTAGAAATATAAGATTATTGGATTTTTGGAGAAAATATGCCCACTGTCTTTCTTTCCTGTGTGCGTGTCCCTCCAGTGGTCGTGGCACACAGGTGCGTCTTATCAAAACACCAAATAGCCTACACGAGTTAAGGCCTAAATCCTGTTGAAGCTATTTAGAGTAGGTTGGAACAACAACAAAAAATCAGATTAAGCGTAATAGGGTTAGAAAAGTTAAACAAAAAATGCATAAAAATTAAATATCCATTTTGCTCCGCTATCTCTTCCTGTCAGGTTATTCCCAGTAAGCTCTCTCGATCAGGTCTAAGACGATTTGAGTCGCTACTTGTGTTGGCATCTGTGTAGGCTGTGTGAGTGTGAACTTTTTTTTTTAAGGGAGTGCTTGCAGATAATTTGCTTCCCGCCGCTGTGGCCGCGTCCTGCTCCTCTCAGCAGTGGGAAAAGCAGCCAGGGAGGCGCGGAGGGGGCCGGGGGCTGCTCAGGAGGCGGCAAACACTCACTCTGCAGGTCCACTCAGAGAAAAAAGTCGCAGGAAACTGTCTCAAACACATTTCACTATAATCAAGGGAATAAGAAATGCCCCACTTCCTCATTTATAAGTTAACTTAACTGTATTTTCGGTTTTGTGAACTGAGCTGTGGGATTTCTTCTTCACTTAATTTGTCTATTTATTTCTCTGTAGCACTTTGGTCTGGCGGGTTTAAAGTGCTTTACAAATAAAGGTGTATTGTATAGTATAAGCTAAGTGTGAAAAACTAACAAAACACCATTTTCAATAGGCATTTCTGTGAATGAAAAATAACCTTTTCATTTTAGAAGAAAAACACAAATATCTTAAGCCTTTTGGGTTAACGTTTAGGTGTGATTTTAGGAAAAGTATTTGGCTTTTTCCCCATGTGTAAAACATCTAGAAAAATTCATCCGTATGAAAATGATTAGAGTTGAAAAATAGCTTTTGTTTGTTTGTTTACTTTTACCACACTTTCTGAGAAAAATACATTCATATCTGGTGCATTCACAGACCCCAGGGGTCCTTGGGGAGACCCCAGGCGGTCCCCACCAAAGGAGAAGTTACATTTTCCATTGTGTGATTAGAATTTTAATGGGCTGCCTTTCAAATTAAATATATCCCTTTAAACAGTTTTCTAATTCATAAAAGACATAAAGAATGACAGAAATCTTCTAAAAATAAATATCTGATGCAGTTAATGAGATAACAGTATACGTTTTAGCAGACTTAAATGTAAAACCTGTTGGAGATTAAAATGTTCTGCCGGAAATTAAAGGGGAATTCCTTAAGGTCTGTGGGGAGGCTGCAGTGACAGCAGTATCAGCCCCTTGGGACCCTACAGATGGTAAATCGGCCTGTCACAATAGGCACAATCAATGATTACATGCATGAACGTAACGGACAAAAACAAGACCGTCACCGTCCTCAGAGATCCTGAAGGTCCTAAAGCCTGCAGGGTTTGATCTGGAGGGGCAAAGTAAAGAGGGGGGGGGGGGGGGGGGGGGGGGGGGGCTCTGTGTGAGATTCTGCAGGTCAAGAGTAGTTGGTGTCATCAGGGTGACCTCTGCATTTACTTACAATATTCTCTACAACATTTAGCTTACAGTAAAACATGTTTACATGCATATGGTTTACTTCATCTGTAACTCCTCGTTCTTCCACTATTTTATTGTTTTTTGCATTTTGTTTTATTGTTTTATGTCCCAATATAATCATGTTGCATTGTTGGAGGAGCCTGGGGCTTAAGATGTTCATTCTACATTGTAGCTACTGTGACAATAAAGCCTTTGAATCCTTGAATAGAAACTCCTCAGGTGCAAAACAGGCAAAGCCTCTTTGTACAATTTGTTCATCAATTATTGAGTTTATTTGCCAGCTGCAGGGGTCTGACAATAATTACACACAATTTACAAACATAATTAGTCTGTTGAAAATAATGATGGGCTAATCTGAATAATAACTCCAGTTAATGTTTAAGTAAAGAGTCAAAATATTCCCCATGGTCAAATCATGTTGAGACGATTGGCTGGTGTTTTATGTAACGGTACATTCATATAATGTTGGCCTAAAAAAACAACTCAATTTGATTAAATCAACTCAGGCTTTGGAAACTTGTAATGGATCTTTTAAAAACCTTTTCATAGACCAAATGCAGAGGACAGGAAGCGATGAAAACAAATGTTCTGCTGACGGTGTGACCCCTAACAGGCACAGATGTAAGTACCCTGTTTTGTAGCTTTGTTATTGCTTGGTGCTCTTATGATCTACACTTTGTATTTCAAATGGGTCACACTTCAGTCATTTCATTCTGTCACAATTACAAGATTCAGCAAAGGGTACGTATGTGGTTACTTTGGCAGCTGCAATTTCAGATATGTCTGTTGTGTTTTCTCCTTACTGCATTACATTATTTGTTATCAGCAAAGAAATATTATGAGCTTCTGAAAACTATGAATTATTTAATTATTTAAGTTTGCATGCCTTTAGCAAATATCAGCATATGGTGATATTAAAAAGCAAAGAGTGAAGAAGTATTCTACTTGCGGTTAAAGTAACATTACTACAGTGTAAAAACATTCTGTCAAAAGTTAAACTCATACATTAAAAGTGTTAAAGTAAAAGTACAAACGTTTTAGAATTTATCCGGTATTTCAGGATCATGTTCATTTTCAGTTGGATTAAAATGACTGATTACAACACCAAAAGGTGGAGCTCATTTTAATTAGTTAATATACAGCTGGGTAGCTTAATATTATGTATATTTTATATGTCTAATTACAATATTTACCTCACAAATTTAATTGAGCAGATGTATACAATTGCAGAGAATAGAAAGTACCTTAAAATTGTATGACACTTTGGTAAATGCACTTAATTATATTCCATCATTGCTAAAAAGTAGGCAGCAAAAAAAGCAAAATAATCTAAAGCGATGTCACAGAGATGCTGGCCTGAGCATCAGGAGTCATTTCAGGCTCAGTGTCTAACATGTGGACGGGAGGAGCTGGCCATTAAACCCCCAACGCTGTGATTAGAGGATAGCCTGTTCCCCTCATGAGCTACACCTTTACCATATGTGTGGTTCAATACTGTATTTACTCATAGTGACATGTATTTTTTATTTATTTAACCGAGACAGTGTACATTAATAAAAATGTCTGTAAATGTGCTAGAGTTACCCGGAAGGTTATCTTTCATCTGTAGTCCCTGGACAGGTCTTGTTAATAACCCTAAAAACGAATTTCATTTAAAATAACAAGTAAATACAATCAGTAAAAGCATGCAAAATAGAGGCTTACAATACTGGAAATGCTCATATAAAACAATAAAACAAAGCATGCATAATACATAGCAAAAGGACAGCAACAGGTTAAGGCACAGGCAGACAGAGGGCTGTGAAGTGCAACAGATTATTTCAGTGATGACAGAGCTGATTCCTCACCATGTTTTTAAATGAGATTCAATTTTATAAACTGAATGTGTTTTGTTCTCTTATTGTTGCTGGGATTGAGTTCCATTATTGTGCAGCTTTAACAGAAAATGTAGATTGACTAAAGGGAACATTTCCTGATTTGAATAATGCATCTCCTATTTGCATTTGTCCTTATGTTGATAAACAGTCTGAGAGGAGGTGAGGAGGGGCCGTGGATGATCTTGTACAGAAGGCAAGCATTTGCATGTTTAATTATATTTTCCCAGCTCGTCAAATTGTATCTTATATATTATCTATCTATTTATTATAAGAATTGTGCACTGATGAGAATTAACAGATTTCTTATCAAGTATTTTAAGTGTTTGTATGACAATCAGGTTAATGGCAATGAGCTTTTCATGGCCGTGTGATGCATTCAGGAAAGGGCAGGAACACACAGTGACGGCCCTGCTCGCTCATGGCTGTAGGAGTAATATGGAAACAATGGGATCACCGCCTGAGGGCTGGCCTCTGTTTTTAGCCTGTGTTTTTGTCTTGCACCAAGTGTTTACTGAAAACACCTCAGCCCCTCTGAGAACGAGGTCAGCTCATCCTCTCTAATCAGACACAGTGTCCCCCCAGAACAACGTGTCACCCAGAGTGACCCTCCGGCCACACAGAGGAAGCTGCTGCTTAGCCAAGGAGCAGCAACAGTGTCCTGCCAAATACTTTTTTTTCTCAGTGAAGCTTCAAACTGGATGGAGCAGATTGCCAGGTTCAGGTTGCCTTGTTAAATGTCAGCCAATCAGAGATAAAGCAGAACAGGTTTCAGTATACTTACAGCTTCACAGAGGGAGGCCAAAATAAAACAGTGATGTCTGATGTATCATTGATGTGTAGCCTTGAAACTGCTGAAGCCTTGAAGTGCAGCTCAGCACTGTTCTGATTGAAGAAACGTGTGTAAAATGGACAGTTTATCCAAATCACAAACAGAAAATGAAGCACCATATAACTCGTTTCAATATATAGAAATGTAAACAGTTTACATGTTATTTGGCAAAACTTTAAGGTCCACTAAATACATTTAAAGCAGTTTACACCTGCTTTATCCTGGGGATCAACATGTGGTTCTTAACCCATTGCTAAATTACATTTGACAAAGTCAGCAGCAATAAAAAAAGGCACATGCCTAATTCAAAGAACTCCCTGTTAGCAGCCTTAACAAAAGCTATTAGCAATATTTCATATTAAAATAAGCCCTTTACACAGCCGACATTTTGACTTGTCATAGTAGGAAAAGCCCTGATTTGGTTGGCTCTGATCTGTTAAAGTGTCCCACTAAGCCATGACAGTTGGCCATCATTAGCAAAAGCAGGTCTGTGAACCATAGGAAATCAATGGGAAATCAGACATTGTAATGTTTCTTTAGGTAAACTGAATCTTTAACAAAAATGACCTCAACCTGCTGCATTTACTCAATTGCTATAATTCATACTTCTACTTTAATTAGGTGTAATCTTATGAATTATACTTCATAATGTTGTACTGCAACTCCAAAGAAAATGTACTTTTTATTCCGCCGCCCTAACATGATTACTGTAGTTAGTTACATAATAATTTTAGTGCATAATTTTCTTACTTATGAAAATGTATTTTCACTGTGTCTATTTCATATTTTATTTAAGAGATCTAAACATTTCTATATTCATTAATTAAAATCCACGTTTTCTTCACGTTTTTTAGCATATGTTTTAATATTGGTCAAGCAAAATGCCCCTGCTGACCACATGCTTCTGCTTCTGACAGCAGAGGACTTCTCTGGGCAGACTGCTCAATATCACCATCCCATTGTCCTGCAGGATCACAGAAACATTTATTTTAAAGGTTTAGAAAGGTCAATTGGGTTGACCTCTGAGTGACCTGTGTCAACACCAAAGCCTCTGGTCTGAGGCGAGGTCAGTCCTGCTCAGTGCCCCAAAGGGTAAAGATGGAGCAAAAGTCCTCTTCTTTTTTCACATCCGATTGAGTGCAAAAAGCCTCATTTCCAAAAGAGCTCTCTAACTTTTATATGTGTCACAGCAGGCACATGATGTCCCCTAAGGGTGTCACTCAGACACCCCTCAGTCAAGTTGTCTGAATAAATGTGCATTTAGTTTTTGCAGTGACCTTGCAGAAGTCATCAAAGCTGGCATTTCATTCCTAGTGTGTGTGAGCATTTGGAGAAGAAAATGGTCAAATCAAGCTGGATACAATGCAATATTTAAAAGTTAAGTGCATAAACATAGGACAGAGTAAGAAATCACAATCACAAGAGGCACTAAATTATGTTGTACATCCTTTTGGTCTCTTGAACAGGACAGAAATGATCAAAGTTTTAAATAAAAGTCCAATGTGAAGTATGAAGTAACCTTTCTGACACCGGCATTTTGGGACTAAAATGATGACGGGGCCCAGGCTTCGTTACGCTGCTCTGACAAATTAGAATAATGGACTATGAAAGACGGAGAGGTCCAAAGAAAGGGACAGGGGAAGAAAGAAAGTCTTTGGGAAAAAGGGAATTAGATAGGAAGAGAGGGAGAAATAAAGAGAGGGAAACAGTGAAATGGAGACAAAATGAGAAGGAGAGAAAAGAGAGGGGGCAGTAGTGGTTTGATGTGAGTGTTATCATCAGCTCTCATTCTCAGCATGGATTCTATAATGGGAAAATCAACCTCTCTGACTCCTGTGTAATTGGATTTGCCGGGTCTCGTGCTGAATCAGAGCCCAGTGGGTAGCACAAAGCTTGTTAAGATTGGACAAGCATTGCTGGGCCGCTGGGCGAGGAGAAGAGGTGGGGCATCGACAGAGGTAACCCTGACAACTTTTCTGAAGTGTAGGAGGGTGAATAATTCAAATGTGTTGAATGCTCATCCTTTATAGACACTTGAGTCTAAGCTTTCCAATCAATCCATTAATTGTTTCATAAATGGTTTCTTTTGTTACAATTAGGTCACCAGGGCCGAGACAATGGACACCTGTGTTACCTTTGGGGGAGTTTGTTATTATTGAGGTAACCAGGAAACCAAAGTAAACACCGTTTTACTCTTTGCAAAGCTACATTAAGGCATTGTCATTTCTTCCACACAATTAGCCTCACAATAAACTACAATTCCTGTATCAAAACCTTTAATGCAATAGTGGTAAAGTATCCCTTTGTATCTTATAGATAGATACATCATAAATGCAGGAAAACAAAGTATAGGCTCAACTCTTTCAGCTAGCAACATTAGCTTACTAGCATTGTCATGAATTTAGCAATGCACACATTAGCATTACGTTCAAAGTGCAGTTCAGCTGCTAGCATAGTTGTGCACTCTTTTTGTGTTGTTAATCCTGTCAATTGAGTGGCCTTTCTAACACCGTCTTTTGTGCATATTTGTCTGTCATCATTTGTAAACTTCTGAGAGTAATTGAAGCAGAGGTACTTTGGAGAAACCTACAACCACTTTTGAAAAAGACACCACATGCGGTAGGATGACTCCACATGAAAGTGTTGTAAAGAGGAAAGGAGTGTCGTTGTCATCACAAACCGTATCCAAAGAGCCTACATCATATCTTATTACCCAGTAAGAAAATTAACGTTAACAAATATGGTATTTATTTATTTGCCTGACATGTATAGGCCTATAGTTTAATTCATCTGCTTTACTTGCACATTTGTCTGCAAAATAATCTGCTTTATTTTATTCTACTCAGTCTCTTCTTGCAAACTTTTTTTATGTCTTGTATGACTATGTTGCATTGTTGGTGGAGCTCTCTTTAATTTAAAGGTGGGGTAGGTAATTCACTTCAGAAACACTTTTTGTTATATTCCATGAAATGCTCTTAACATCCCGATAGCAATGAATATATTAAATGCTTTGACAATAAATCCATTAAAAAAGTCATTTGTGGAAGCCGTAGTTCTGTAAAAAGCACGACCAATCATCTGAGCCGGACCGGCTAAAGTAACTGGATGGCCTACCTGCCTGTCAGCCTTCCATCTGTGCACAAACTTATCTCGTGACCTCATTGGTCATGTGAGCGTTCGTGTGTGTTGGAGGAGGGGCTCTGTAAGGAAGTCTGAAGGAAGGGGCAGATTTTTTTCGCCTGCGTACTTTCAAATTCTAGCGCACTCGAGCTGGTTTCTCCATTCTTACGGTCTACCATACCTTTAAGATTTTCATTGCATTTTCTGCACTGTAGCTAGAGTGCATTTGGAATCTTTGAATCTTTGTTAGTTCTAACAGATTTCAAGCTAGCATGTTATTTTCTGGGCAATGCTGTCTGCCTAGCCTTGAGGATTACAAGGTTTTGTGTTTTACATCATTACTATTGTATGTTTTAAATATTTGATTACATGTTTTTGTTGAAGTTTGCATTTACTGTAAGGGCATGCTAGGTTTAAGGTGATGACCGAATATTGCCATGTCACTGGTTCACATCTGGCCAAGGACCTTTCAAATCTCCATTTCCTTTCATTTCCTTCACTTAAATGTCCTTAAGGGGGTTTAGTTCAAGATCTCAAAGACCTTCAAATTCTATTAGATTGACTGGAATTAAAGTTTCTGGTAATAGCTTCCATCCAAGCAAAACACGAGGTAATTGCATTTGGGCATCAACCCAGTAGCATTGTGCAGAAGCACTAAGCATTGGCAGCTCCGACGGTCACTCAAAATAATAGTTCTCCCCTCACCAGCATTGTTATACTATGTAATAAAGCAGTTGGTGATTAGTCTGTAATGTATCCATCTAATCAAAGATCAGTAACCAGACCTTGACTGTGCCAGCAGGAGAGAAGAAGGAGACCGGGGGCTTTTAAGCTGTTGGTAGTGATGTAATGGAGCTTAGACACGGAGAAGAAGGAGAGAGGGAAAGGGGGATGGTTGGATTGGTATGGTTTGGATCTTGTTTCTGTATCGTTATGTTACACTCAGTAGAGCAGTAGATACCCAGGTAAGCACTGAGTAAGATCTCCCTGTCCCTGTCCCTCCACCTCCCACGACATGAATGATTAAGCACCTGTCCCACAGTGCCTTGGGCCTTTGCATATGTGCACCCAGGCCTCCACACATCATCACTACTACTACTACTGCACACTGGATGAATGAGCTGCCAGACAAACCAGAGTAGAGGACAGTTATTGTGTTTTTTATTAGTATTATACGAGCTGGACTCTTGCAAATTAACTGTCAACCATCCTGTGTTTACAGGTTCACTGATTGTCTTCATGCAAGCAGACACAGGAGGACACGCTACTCTCGTCTAACTTGTCTGGAGAGTTTTTTTTTTCACAGTTTGAATCCTCATCGAAAGTCTGCATCTGACAGCAGAGTAGTAACAGAGCTTCAGAAATGCAGGTTTGGGTTTTCTTTTGTGTCGTAAACTTTTGTAATGTGTTCATTTTGTCACCAGGTTTGATCATTTTATAGTGTTTGCTGACGTTTAGTTATCATACCATATATGATGTCCAAGAGTTTAAAAAACTGTAGTGATCCATTGACCAAAGGCATTTCAAGAATAATAGATCCTAGTCCTGTTGCAAGTCACTTTTTATGACAGAGAGTCTAATGAGGAGATTCATCTTACCGTCACGCTCAAGTGTGTTTTTCACCTTCTCTTCTAAATAGTAACTAACTAAGCAGATTTCCCAAAATGTTAAACTAATGCTATACATTGATATTGAGTTACATGACCTTGGTTGGTACCACCTGAGCTGAACAAAACAGTGTCAATCTCTTTCTCTTAGGCGGAGATATTACCAATACATGAGACAATCAGACAAAATCCTCTTTAAGAGGGGGATAAACTTTACCACTTACTTTGTGCTAATTTGCTACAGAAGCCCCCCCTCCCCTCCTTTGTCTAGAGATACCTCGGCTTCTCACACGGATGAGGTCACTCTGTCTCAGGCAACACTGACACTCTAGACCAAGATGAGGGACCATCTCTTCATTAAAATACAATTGGTTGTGCTCTGAGGTAGCAAGGCAATTCACCTGATCTGACAATGGCTTAGTGGATTCCTTACATAACCATTATTTCCGCTGTGCATGTGATTGGGCTGTCGATTGTTTAATTATATCTAGAATTACAACCAAGTTCACTTGGTTTGTATTATTTAAAGCCACAACAAAAAAAACACATGCACAAGGACAACTTTTTTCTATATAGCCGGGGGCTTTCTTCGACTCTTTCTTTCTTGTCCCGCTGGACTGAGAACGCCCATTCAATGTTCAGCTTTTCTAGCACAGTGTCATTAGAAACACTTGTGCACGCTGCAGACAGCTTTCTTAAAAAGAAATACCTGCAGGACACCAAAGGAAACTTGAATGGGAACCACAAACCTTTAGATTTTGTCAGTGCGAGGAATGACCTAAAACATTAGCATTATCATCCACCCCGAACTCTTTAATCCTCCTCTTGACAGGAGCTTATCTGTTCATGTTATTACTTGTAATACTGTATGGCAGATCTCTAAGTCACGCTGTCCCAGCATATTGTCTGCTTGTGCTGCCCTGAGAGAAGTTTGTTCCCATGAAGAAAGGGGGTGTCACAGATACCCCGCACCAGCACCACTACCATCACATTGCCAGATTGATTCTGACGTCCAAAAAAGGCTTCCTTCAATGATATTGTTCACCTGTCTCATTGGCTTAAAGTGGGTGGCTGGGAGGGGGAGGCTATGGGAAGGGGATCGGGTGGGGGTTATTGGTGGGGACACAGGGTGAGGGGTATTGTTGAGGAGAGGGGTGAGAGCATTGGGGGTGAGGGGCTGACAGGTGGAGAAAAACCCTCTCATCTGACTAGCCTCCTCTATCCTTCCATGGGGCCCCGTGTGAGCAGAGTAATGAAGTCCAAATTACAGAACAGGATTGCTACGAACAAGCCTCTATTGTTCGCCCCGGGGCAAACTAAATGAGTGTCACAGCAAGCAGCGGGGCACAGACCGTTACTGCACTATTTAGTCTGTCCCGTTGTCTCAAGACGGCCCCGATTCAGAGGTTCTCAGATCAGACAAATACAGCTCCCCTCCTCTCCCCCTCCTTCGCCCTCACCCTTCCTCTGTACAGCCAACCCCTCCCCAACTCCTCACCCCAAAATAGGCCAAATCTCCTCCATTGTGTTTCGACTGCCTAGTGTGAAATTCACTGTGACGTTAAATGTTTTCTAATGAATAATTACTGAATGGATATGCAGGGGGAATATGTGTAATGGATTGTAGACTGCATTTTAAAGACGTCTTTTTTGTCTCTGCTCCGTGGTATTTACAGGACAAAAACACTTGGCCTTTCTCAGAAGAAATGAGGGCCATAGGCGGAGGATAGAGGCAGGGGGAGTAAGCGGAGGGGGGGCGGAGGGCTTTGTGTCAATTAGATCCAATGGATTATCTTTTTTAATGTTTTTACAGAGAGAGTTGAGAATCAAAGGACTTCTGCTTCCAAAGGAGAGAGAGAAAATACAAAACCAACAAAAGCTGTGAAAACCTTTGGTCTAAGTGTTGGTGCTGAGAATGCAAAACAGATTGGTGGAATTTTTCCCACTATGCCTCTTAAATGTGCCGCTGTTTTGGGCTCCCCAAGTCCATTTGCACAGTGTGTTGTGTTTGGTTGGTGTGTCAGCTCTAGTGAACTACGGGCTGCCAGCCAAGGTCCCTGTGTGCTATGTAGCGATCATTAGCTTCTGTCTGTTTGTCTGCACAATCACAGAGCTTTGCATCAAAGACACATAGGACCTCTAGACCTCTTATTTCAATAGAACTAACAGGGACCATGTTTGTGCTTTTTCTGGGGCTTTCTTTTTTAGCTCCGACATCCCCCATTAAGCCGTTTATGCAAACACTCATTCATCCAACCCCATTGTCGGAAAAATATATAAATTTAAAATGTGTTTCACTTGTTGTTACAAATTCATAAAGTTTTTAATTAAGTACTTTGAGGTATTGAATGTGTAATGTGTTTTAGAAACAGAAATCATTAGATTATGATGCCAAACACCAGGAATTTGAAAAAGATATTTCCACTGCTCTTAAATTGTGCACTTGGCTGCCTAATGGTTGATACAACTTGTTGCACAGGTTCAGCTGGACATGGAGGGCGCCCTGACCGCCAGGGACCGGGTTGGGATCCAGGATTTTGTCCTCCTGGATGAAACCACAGAGACCGCCTTCCTCAGTAACCTCAAGAAACGCTTCAGCAAAGATCTCATCTATGTGAGTCGTTTGACTTTTCAACCTTCCTGTCATGTTCGGGTCAAATCTTACCGATTTAGTACTTTCACTGAATTTGTAGTGGTTTAGTCATATTTGTTACAGGAGATGAATGGGTAACCTTAGATTATGTTAATCCATCAGATAGTGCACACCAACAAATGGACAATATTTTAATTTTACAATACATTTTCCGATAATGTTGCTTAATGCTTTTTTTGTGTTAATGTAAGAGCAGTTAAAACAGAACTGATGCATTTGACGGGTAACACCTAAGTAATGGGGGAGAAACTAACATGACAGGAGGGTTAAAAGATTGCTGTCAACAAATGCTTGTATATCTTTACAATTATCAATGTCTTAACCTATTTCAGACCTACATTGGCACATTGCTAGTGTCTGTGAATCCCTACAAAGAGCTGGACATCTACAATAAGAAACAGATGGAAATCTACATGGGTGTGAACTTTTTTGAGCTTCCACCACACATGTGAGTATGTGTAAAAACTAGAAATATGTGTTCATGTTCAATTGTTAATAGGTTTCTCTGTGGAAGATTTTGATTGCCTTGCATCCCCACAGCTACGCCTTGGCAGACAGCGCCTACCAAACCATGCTGACAGAGTTTAACAATCACTTCATCCTCATCTCTGGAGAGAGTGGAGCCGGGAAGACGGAGGCCTCTAAAAAGATCCTGCAGTATTACGCTGTCAGCTGTCCGAGCACCACTCTGCTCAACACTGTCAGGGACAAAATGCTCATGTCCAACCCTGTCCTCGAGGTGTGATGGTTACTTACGTTACATCCTTGTAATGACATACCAAACAGCAGGTCATGCTAACATTAATTATTCCCTGTGCTATGGTGTTTCCTTACAGGCTTTCGGCAATGCCAAAACACTGAAAAATGATAACTCAAGTCGGTTTGGGAAGTATATGGACATTCAGTTTGACAGCCAGGTAAGATTCAAGGGACAGATTGACAGAAGGGCTTTCGAGAATACATTAATACATTATAATCAACATATAAATGTTTCGTTTGAAAGCTCAGTCTAATTATAAAATGAGTGTAAAAATACATTTGCAGACTTAAAAGGAATGAAGGGCAAACTTAAGAACTATGATTGTTCATTTAAAAATAAGGAGAACGTTAATATTCTCTCTCAATTTATCCTAAGAGGATTTTTTTAAATCTGTCCACTGGACCATAGGCTATGTTTTTTCTGCAAGTTGTAGAGCTGCTGTCTTTAGGATCCTGATGCCCATAGGGGGATGCTGTCGGAGGACATATCCTGAACTACCTGCTGGAGAAGTCGAGGGTGGTGCATCAGAATCACGGGGAGAGAAACTTCCACATCTTCTACCAGCTGGTGGAGGGAGGGGAGGACGACCTGCTGCACCAGATGGGCCTGGAGAGAGACTGCCAGCATTACAACTATCTAACCCAAGTATGTATGACTCAGAGTTGTAATAAAGAAAAGATTCAAACAACCCGAGTAAACTTTGACAATGTGTTGCTATTATTGCTGTTTCTCACAGGGAGAGTGTGCCATTGTGTCATCCATTAATGACAGAAATGACTGGAAAACAGTGAAGAATGCACTACAAATCATCAACATTGATGAGATTAACACTAATGTAAGTTAAATGTGGATCTAAATCACTCATTATTCCCTTCTTGTTTTACTTTGCCTTACAAAATGTTCCTTCTTTGCAGCACTTGTTTGGGACCGTTGCTAGCGTTCTCCACTTGGGGAATGTGCAGTTTGACTCGGACAGTAAAGGCCATGCCTTGCTGAACAACAACAACGCAGAGCTGCGCTGGGTTTCAAATGTAAGAGAATGATAATGGAAAGAATTTGGATATCCAGGGATGATTAAAAAAGTCAAAGAATAAACTGACTTAATGTCCCTGCAGCTGCTAGGAGTCGATGCTCACAGTCTCCAAGAGGGACTCACATACAGGAAGATTGAAGCCAAAAATGAGCAGGTGCACGCATGATAAAATGTCCTTGACTTACATTTATGATAATGTTTGTTTCTACTTTAACCTTCTCTTTAGTGGTTGAAATGTAGCTATGACTTTGTCTCACTGCGAAGGTCCTCAGCCCATTCACAACTGATCATGCCATCTATGCTAGAGATGCCCTGGCCAAAGCCATCTACGGACAGACCTTCACCTGGCTGGTGAACAAGATCAACGAGTCCATGGAGAACAAGGTGAGGAGAGTGGTGTGTGGGACACATCCAATACACCGAGGATGAGTATATACTGACTTCCTTTTTATTCCCAGGACAACTCGAGGAAGACTGTAATAGGGCTTTTGGACATATATGGTTTTGAGGTTTTCTATGTAAACAGGTAAGCAGACATTCCCTTTGTGGCACTGATTTGATTATGTTGGATATCCTGATGAAGGTTTGATGAAATGATCCATAATCCTCTTTTGTCATGGCCCTCAGTTTTGAGCAGTTCTGTATAAACTACTGCAACGAGAAGCTGCAGCAGCTTTTCATTCAACTGACGCTGAAAGCTGAGCAGGAAGAATATGAGGCAGAAGATATTGAGGTAAACCTGAATCAAAAAGTAGTATTGAATAATGAATGATTGAGTATGTTAACACTGACTGATTTTTCCTCTAGTGGGAACCAGTTCAATTCTTCAACAATAAGATCATCTGCGACCTGGTTGAGGATAAATACAGAGGGATAATAACAATACTGGTGTGTATTTACTGTAATAGAACAGTTCATTGAAAGGGAAGCACTGAAGCTGACTTATTTCCATGTTTTGATGATAATCCTCCAGGATGAGGAGTGTCTCAGGCCAGGAGACGCCTCAGATCTCACCTTCCTGGAAAGACTGGAAGAAAAGATGGGAAATCACCCTCACTTTGTCACGTAATTAAAAAAGCTCATCTTAAAATATCACACAATCCTCAAATGATATAGGATAAGAGAAGACTGTAGAAGGACATTATTGTGCCAGAGTTACAAAATATACAATAAATAATAATAATAATAGTAACAATAATAAAACTGTACACTAACTAACAAACAGTAAACAAAAAGCAGATTAAACAACAAACAGAGAGGGACAAATAATTAATGTAAAAAACTGACATTACAAAAAACGTAGTGGCAGACACATAGTAGAAATAGATTTGCCACATATGGAGGTTCACAGTGCTTTTGAGATGCACTTTTAATTAAGTATGAACTCCATCTAAATGTGTAATTCAAAGCTTGTCCTCACCGCTGAGGATGTGTGCTGACTGGTCCCTCGTGAGCCGACAGTGAGCCGATAGAGACGGAGGATTAGGACGGTCTGTATAGCCTCTGCCCTTCATCCCTCTGTCTCTCCCCACCTCTTTGACTGCAGGCACAAACTGGCTGACAAAATGACACGTAAGACTCTGGAGAGGGGAGATTTCCGTCTCTTGCATTATGCCGGGGAGGTCACCTACTGCGTTGTGGGTAAAAGAAACAACAGTGTCAGGCCCTGTTACTCAAACATCTACAACTTTTATTTATTTTTAACGGACTAACAGCCTTTTATTCCTCTTCTTCGGTGACATTATAGGATTCTTGGACAAAAACAATGACCTATTGTATAGGAACATAAAGGATGTGAGTCTACAAATGTTATGTTTTATAATGTGAAGCAAAGAGTGGCTCAATGGAAACTCTTTTAATTAGTATATTGATTGTTATCAGTTATTTAGACCTACGGTTTCAATACTTGGTCTACAGTGTCTTTTTCTGTTGATAGTACGCTTATTTATTTATTGTTTAATATTCATAGACCAAGGGCATAGGTTACTTTTATGATGGCTCCACTTACGTAAAACAATACATGTGTTAAAGAACATTAAAAAGCTGCTTATTGTTTACTTACAGCTTTTTATATTTCCATTCTTTATGCCACTTATATGACTCCAAACTTTAACACTATTAATGCAATGCAGCAATTCATATTGATATTAATTACACATGTGTTTGACAAATGTGAAAAAGTCTATTCAACTGGAGTTACTGCTGTAAAATAACTCTAAAGGTTTACAAACAATGTTTAAGTGTCACACATAATGGTGAATTGGTGTGTTATAATCTGTGTGTGTTCTCCTATCTTCTTACAGCTGATTGGTCAGTCTAAAAATGCCATAGTCAAAGAGTGCTTCTCCTCAACGGATCCAGACAGCAGACGAAGACCAGAAACAGTAAGTGCTCTCCACATCCTTCATCTGTATTAATGATGAAGATGATGTTATATATTATCATCAGTACTATGCTGTGGCTCAGAGTTTCAAGCCATATATAAACGTTCCTTTTCATGGCATTATCTAAAGTGGAAAAGGAGATTCTTTAAAACAATTAGCATGTACCAAACATATTCGTTGATCTACAAAATGCATTTAGAAAATAATGACTTGTAAAACAACAACAAGGAGATCAAATAACTATCCAAGTTCCATATCATTTACAAATAATGTGAGAGGAATGTAGCCCAATAACAGTTTATAGGATAATACACATTTCAATTTGATTTAAAGTAAAAAAACATGCAATGTAGATTAAAGTTGAGGAGAAACACATCAGTAAGTGGTCTGGATAGAGTGACCACTGACACAAAGGCAGGTCGTTCTTTCAGCCTGACTGTGTCCTCATTAAGCCATATGTACGTGACAGATGAAGTGTTGGGGATAACGACCCTCTTGCTGTGTCTGAAGGTGGCGACCCAGTTTAAGAGCAGCCTGCTGAAGCTGACAGAGATCCTCATGGCTAAAGAGGCCTGGTACATACGCTGTCTGAAATCCAACGAGTCCAAGCAGCCGGGTACTTGGAGTTAATAGAAAGCACATGAAGCCATTTTGTGAACAGGATGGAGATGTTTAAATCTGAGCCTCTCCTCTCTCATGCAGGTCAATTTGACGAAGCGCTGATCAGGCACCAGGTGAAGTACCTGGGCTTGATGGAGCACCTCAGGGTCAGAAGAGCTGGTTTTGCGTACAGACGCAAATATGAAGTCTTCTTAAAGCGGTATGAAGGACCACCGAGCTTTGACCTTGTACTTTAAATGAAAACCCTCAGGTTGAGTAGTTTCTTTCCAGTGCAGTTAAAACTTACTGAGAGGGTTGTTTGGTGCATCTTGCAGATATAAACCCCTGTGCCCAGCCACCTGGCCTCACTGGAGAGGAGTGCCTGCTGATGGAGTGGAAGTGCTGGTTCAACATCTCGGCTACATGCCAAATGAGTACAAGATGGGACGGTGAGGAGAGCACTTCCTAATAACAACAGAACAAAAACATACATACGAAGTAATGAAAACATTCACATGTTATAGTTATATATAGTTATATATATATATATATATAGTTATGTTATTTGTTATAGTACCAAAATATTCATCCGCCATCCGAGGACACTTTATGCCACAGAGGATGCTTATGAGAGATGTAAACATGAACTGGGTAGGTGCAAATATAATGTATTTAATTTCCAGTCACTTCTAGTCGAAAACAAATGTCAAAAAGTGACTAATTTAATTATTGTTCTTTGAATTTGCAGCAACGAGGCTCCAGGCCAAATACAAAGGATACAAAGCAAAGGGAGAATTTAAAAAACAGAAAGAAGCAGGTAAACTCCACAGTGCATGCTATTATTATATAAATAAAGGAAAATTACACACTATACAAATACAAATGTGTATATCCTTAGCCACCAAGATTGAAACCTGCTGGAGAGGAGTGCAGGCTAGGAAGGAGCGAGATAAGAGAGCCTGGGCTGTGAAAGTCATCAAGAAGTAAGACATGTCATTACACGACTCCTCAGGCTTACTGTCACATTCATTATAACAGCATTTTCAATCATTTTTAGATTCATCAAAGGTTACATAAACAGGGGGCAGTTAAAAAACACGGATAACTCGGAGTACCTGGCTTTTGTGAGACAAAATTACTTAAACAGGCTCAAAGGCAACCTGCCAAAGACGGTCCTGGATAAAACCACCTGGCAAACTCCACCAGCAGTCCTGGCAGAGGTAACATGATGAACTTACTTCATTGTAAACCAGATTAGCTTCTATTTTGACTTTGTGCTCATTTGTCATTTTGTCAGACATCTGAGATACTGCGTATGCTTCACTACCGTCTAATGGTGCGGAAGTATGTGCGAGGAATCACACCCCAGAAAAAGGCTCAGGTAACACACATTTAAATACATTATAAAACGTCATATTATCAATAAATGATCAACCTTATATGTTTTTGTTTCTTTTAGTTACAACTGAAGCTTCTCACCAGCTCCATCTTCAAGGGAAAAAAGGAGAGCTATCCACAGAGTATCGCTCAGCCTTTTGTGGACACCAGAATCAGTAAGTAGTGACACATTCGCACATTTCACTTTTTATTCATAAATGTAACTAAATGTATGACCTCCAGGTGAACAAGAGATAAACATGAGGGTTCTGCAGACGATTCGCAACGAGCACATTAAGGTGATACAAATCCTTATAAACCCAGAAGAAACAGTCTCACATGAAACGTAACTAACTGTGTGATGTTCTGTGTTTCTGTAGTACGGTGTCCCGGTGATTAAATATGACAGGAATGGTTTCAAACCAAGGCCGCGACAGCTCGTCCTCACACAGACGGCTGCCTACGTGATAGAGGAGGCCAAGATCAAACAGAGAGTGCTGTACACCTCTCTCAAAGGTGAGGACAATGACATAATATATGTTTCGCCTTTAGGGAAATATACGTGTCAAATATACGTGTCTTTATTTGACTGTTTTTCAGGTATTTCGGTCAGTAACTTGACAGACGGCATCATTGTGCTGCACATAACATGTGAGGACCCTAAACAGAAGGTATGCATGCAGGAGATATTCATCAGAATGTTCCTGTTTTTCACTTCAACTGGGAAAGCTTTATTATGGTATGAATGATCACATAAGGTGGAGTCTGACAACACTGCCATCACTGGAGCATTAGCAATATTCACTTACTTAATTATTCACTGGTTATGTGAAGTATTTGTTTGTTCAATGTATCTAATAGAGTACACTTTTGTAATTGTTTCAGGGAGACCTTCTGATGCAGTGCGACCATTTGTTTGAGTTTTTGACCAAACTCTGTCTCATTGCTAACAAAGAGAATTCAGTCAAAGTGGTTCAGGGCAGGTGAGTCTGTGCGGAGACACTGCTGAGAAGGGGGTTAAAGTTTTAACAAATACAAAAACATCTTATAAAATCAATTGCTTACAAACAGATAATATTCTTTGTAAAAAGGTATACATTGAATATATGCTTATTTGCATTATTTTATTGAACAGAAATCCAAACACTGCATAAAGCCAGGTTTAAGTATTGTTTCATTTCATAACTCATTAGAGACAAACGTTTCTACAGGGTGGATTTTGGATATCTCTTTGTCATTCCACAAATAATAATAATGCTGTCAACAGCCATTTAAAAAGACACATTTTTACAATGTTTTAGGAAGAATTTTGTATAAAATGTTCATAGATGTTTTATAAATCTGACTATGAATGACATACAAACAACTTTTTTCAGTAAATGCTTTAATAGATAAATAAATTACATGGAAAAGGTATGTCATGTCTACTTTAGTGTAGCTTATTGGCTCAGAATGAGATTTAAAAAAATGCATTTGGAGAGAACGGCCTTTAAAGATAATATTAATTTAAAAATGTCATCCATTTTGAGACAGGTCAATAGGGTGACTTTTAACAAATATACTCACTTTGAAACTTCCTGACTTGATCACCTACACCAAGACCAATGTTTTCTGTAGTACACGTTGTCTGAATGTATGGTTAAATGTGCAAAAAAAAAGGTTATGCCCTTAGTGTTTTGCATTAAGAAGTATTCAAAGAGGTTGGATTTGAGATGTGCTTCAATCTAAAATAATTTGTGTATCGATGTTCAGCATCAAGATTGAAATCCAGGCAGGGAAAGAGAGTGCGGTGGACTTCAGCCTCGGACAGGAACCCATGGTGTTCAAGGCTAAGAACGGACACCTCATGGTGGTGAGACCAGTGCTGATGATGAAGAGTGCACCTTGTGTTATATGATGATGAAGAGTGCACCTTGTGTTATATGATGATGAAGAGTGCACCGTGTGTCATATGATGCTCTGCTCTCAGATTAAGCTACACACTAAAGAGTGAAATGTAATATAAAGTGTTTTTTTCACTGCAGGTTGCCACTCGGGCTAGGACACGGTAACATGTGTGGGGTTGAGGCGACACACAAGAAGCCCCTGCATATTTCATCAGGAGACCCCTGAGGGGAGATCAACATGTCTACAGAAAACACACCTGGCCAGAAGCACTAAAGAAACCAAGGAAGAACTTGCTTTGTTGTACAGCTTTGTTTCTCATCTAGTCACATAAGTAAAGGACACATGTATTTTTCCACTACAATCTCATTCTTACAATGTTAAAGTGTTAACATCATTCTCTGTAAAGAGAGGGCTTGTCTGCTATTTTGATCATTGAAGTTCAAAGCAAATCAAACATTTCAATCTACAAAACTATTTGAATGCAAAATAACGATTCATATACTGCTTTGTGCAATTTTGATCCTCAAAATTAAGCCATTTATATGATAATTTTGTATACTCGCAAAGTAGAAACAGAACAAATAAATGTTTGTAGAAATTTATTTGTGATAAAGTATGTATAAATATAAAACATACATATATGTTCACTTCTGTACAACAGACCTACGAGTACTGTGATTGCTAGACATATTTCAACTAAAACTGATTGTGTGGAAACAGTACATTCTCTGATGAATGCGGCGATGAAGGACAGGTCTAATTTGGCTCCCTGTTAAAAGCGTGTTGACAGGATTCTCTTCCTGCCAGGGAGATCTCCGATTACAGTCATTCACCTCAACCTCAGCATCCATCATTCACCCCAGTACATTTAACACCTAAGGTCACAGCTCAGGTTCCTCCACTGAACATAATCATCATTTAGTGGAGTGAAGGGAAAATGCATACATGTTAATACTAAATGTGACAGAAGCAATACAGTGAAATGTTGCATCCACCTGTGATATCTTACATTTATCAAAACATTACAATTTTAAAATGTAATCGCCATTATCTGCAGGCTACATACTAGCCTTGGTAACATTTTTAGAAGTTTTCAAGAGTAAAATATTGCCACCATGTGGCTACAATGTGAACACCACCTGGTAAATCCACTGGTGATCTTACAGTGGACCCGTCAGAACCATGGTACAAGTACATTTATCTTTAGTTGCTTACATGTTATCATTCTTGTTCTTTTGGATCTAATGTGGTGAAGACCTCCAATAACAGATGTATACAAACAATACAATATCTCTTGTTTCCACTATCATTTAAAACTGGATACCTGATGCAAATACCCATGTGTAATGGGTTCTGCAAACTCAAATAAAACCGTGAGAAAAGTTATCATGACTAACAAACAGAGAACAAAACACTTCATACAGTCGGTCAGACAATGAAGATGACACACAAACAAATACAAAATCACTTCATCAGCACACATGGTTGTATAACACGCATCTCAAAGGAGTCTCCTGGAGTAAAAGCTGCTAAAATAAGAGAAGAGTGGAAGTGATACAGAAAGGGCGCTGGGTGATGTAAGGCACAAGCGTGGTGCAAAGGCTGTCCAGGTCAGAGACACAGCTGACGGGTGGAAGGAGGAAGGTCACTGGTGGTGGTGTGTGCGGTCGTCCGGTCGTTTGATATGAATCCTACGAACTCGCTCGATTCGATCTCGCTCATCGTCCTCATCCAGATGATGAGATCGCCCTGCAGCGCCCCCTGTGGCCTCCAGCAGGGCATTGTCTGGACCCCTCCCATCATGGGACTCATACAGGAGGATGTTGAGGGTCTCCTCATAGATTCGTGCTTCAGGGAACTCCACCTGAAGGAGAGTGGTACACCAGAGATTAGTGAGATAACAGACTGTAGTTGTATGCATGAAAAAAGCGCAGCAAACTCTAAGGAGAGCATACAACATGCATATACAGTACATAGAATCTATATATTTATTTTTACCTTTGTCTGCTTTTTTTCTGTGGCATAAACAATGGAGGTACAGCACACTTCAGCGATCTTACGCCCCTGACCATAAAAGGACCAACAACAGATCTCATCTCCAATCACATCTTTGATGAAGAGCACCCGGCCGTTGAACCGCAGAGACAGCTTGTCAAACAGCTCAATATTTTTCAGCATGTTGTCATCAGAATTGCTGGAGGAACAGAAAGGAAATACAATAGGGTTCATTATTTAGACAACTTTTAGGAATTCGGTAAATGATAGGGATGTAACGATACCAAAAACTCACGGTACGATAATATCACGATAACAAGTCCACGGTACGGTATTTATTGCGATATTGAATAATAAAGGAAAAAAAATTCATTTTTTTTCCTTCAATACACATTTTTTTTTACTCGAAAAATGTTTCTTTATTACATAATAAATCTGATTTGTACAGCATTTGAGTCGGATAGCAGTATTTTAAAGTGTCAAAAACAAAGTGACAGTAACAGACTGGAACAAGAAAACCATGTGTTTTTGTACCTATAGTACTACCAAACAAAGTAGGCATTTTCTTTGTGCCTCTGCATCTCACAGATAAACAGGACATTTAATAATCAGACCCTGCAATAAAATAAATTAAGTTTCACTTTAGTTTTTCAAGTAACTCAAACCCACTAGTCACTCACTCGGCATCATCAGACAGGTTTTTAGGAATATGAGAATGTCCACATTTCCAGGTATTTATAAGCTGGGATGTTTGGGCATTTACAATATCCCCTGCTCTGGAAAAAACTCTCTCGCTTGGTGCTGATGTTGCCGGGACAGCAGTGGTCGCGTTAACCGAATATTTTATTTATTAATGACGGAAAAATCTGAAAGCAGTCTGTCATTTTGACAGATTAGAACAAACTCGGAACAGCGCCAACGTTTCCCCGCAGCGAGGCTCTGGTGTTATGCCGTGTTGCTTTAGTTTAGGTTTTGCTTTACGCTGTGTGCGCTCCCGCGAGGTGCATGCACACACGGCATAACACCGCCCCCCCCCCCGTTGACAGTTCACGAGCGTGCTCTCTCGTGAACTGTTCAGACCGGACGGGTAATAAGTTATGGTAATAAGGGATTATGACGGACATTTTACGATCCTGTCTGTCAAAATGACGGACAGCGAAAAAGTCTAACGCCACCTCAGTGGGACGGAAAGATATGCTTTGGCCATGGGTGACAGCAGTGGGTCAAACTGTGCATTGTCTCTCCACCACTTCAAAAACAATACAGTTGTTGCCAAGAAGGTGAGGCTTATTGACAGAGATATAAATATACTGTTGGTACTTGTCAATGTCTCTAGGTGTGTACATGTAGCCCTGTAAATACGATGTCCTTTTGTGTTCTGTTGTTTTATGTTCATGCTGTAACCTACTTGCTGCCATGTTGGACAGGTCTCTCTTGAAAAAGAGATCGATGATCTCAATGGGACCACCTGGTTAAATAAAGGCTTAAAAAAAAAGAAGTGTTTAAATAAAAAAATAAATAATAATTAATGTAAAAAAAAGAAATCGCGGTAGATTTTGTCAGTCTCACGACGGTATTGGCACGTTTATTTACCGCAATACCGCGATATATCGTTACATCCCTAGTAAATGACGTTCTTTCTTTAACATGTTAGCTCCATACATCGGTGAAGGAGGACTCACCTGGTATATGAATATTTGTTGTTGCTTCGGTTATACAGCAGTTTGACAGTAGGCTGTGGAAACAAAGGTTTTTTTTGTTTAAATAAGCGGAAAAAAATTCCCTCTATGTTTTCAATTGGAAATCGAGCACATTGTTTAGAAAACAGAACGTACCTTATTCGAGGTTGCAATAAGCTTCTGCTCCTCCTTAGATGATGTCATTAGAGGCACTTTACAAAGGGGTTCATAACTTTCTTTGTTCTGTAGGACAAAAAGAATAACATTTTATTTTTCCATTCAAAAAGATCCACCTCAAAGCTGGCACACAGTATATTATAAATTGAAGGATGCCATCTGGTGGAACAGAGTAGCAAAGAGGACATGAAACCCCCCAGGCAATAAATGAGACTACATTCTTTTAACCGTTTAAGCAGATACGTTTCTAATTGTTTCATAATAACGTACTATCTTTCAGTTAGTGGTTAAGGAATATACAGACAAATGTAGGACTTGTTAATGGTTCTGTGGAGCTCATTTAATAACAGTTCTGAAGATATCACAATGGACACAATATGCGTTTATCATTAAGTACCTGCAAGGCCGCGGTGCATTCATCAGCCAGGCCCTGTACGAGGTAATACTTGGCCTCAGCGAGCAGCTCCTCGGTCTCCCGCCGGCTGTCTGGGAGAGGCACGGCCCCGTCTCTAAGGTAGTTAAGGATTGTTCCAAAATGTTTCCCGCAGCGATCAATCAAGATCCAACCTGTGGATATGAAACAATTAAACATAAGTTAGTAATAGATCAAGGCTAACATAAGCCGTGCTAATATGATTTTCACCAAAAGCTCACCTTCGCTGTCTGTGAGGACCTCCATCCTGCCGCTGAACATGGCTTTGAGCATGGTGTCCTGTTTGGTTAGTGTCTGCATTGTAGTGTAGTACAGTGCTCCACCCACATTTAGCTTCACATATTTCGAGCTCGGGCTGGAGCCTTTGAAGGATGTAGTCCGGTTTGAAGCTGCCGGCACTGCCGTGCTCACCGCACTCTCTCCTGACATCTCTTCCTGGGACAGAACAAGGTCAAACACAGAGTGACACCTGGATCTAGTGTGTCGCTGGATTAGCTTGTTAACTGAACAGAGTGGAAACATATGATTACTACAAAGGTCTATGTTAATGTTAGGTAGCTATTTTTTAAGGAATGGGCTGACATGTTTTGTTTTTACCGAATACACCAATGCACTAGTCCGTCTCCTAATATTTGGCGACTTTTAAACCATTAAAAGGACAAACCATTTGTCGTTGCTAAAGATGAGATTTTACTAAATCCTAGCCACAAGTATAGGGATACATTTTAAATAGGCACAAGCGTTTATGGCCGCAGGACAGTGTTATTATATTGACTCAGAATAAATGTGTCAATCTCGATTGTTATGAAGGAACATTTTGCATCTCATTTATACATCTTTAAATGTTTAACGTTTTTTTTGAGGCCCTGGGGAATAAGCCAGATCACGTTTTTGCCACGGAGTAAGTCAGATCAATTCATTGATGGTATTGTTATGAGATTTGTTGACAACCTGAAAAAGTATATATATTATACATCACCATTTCAGTCG